GTCAATCCAAGAAAGTTAGCTATGGACTTTCTAAAAGCCATTGGAGGACTTGTAGGTGTGGCTCAAGTGGTAGAATGCCTGCTTTGCAAGCATGAAGCTTGCAAAGAGGGTCCCAGCCAAATTATTTAGGGTTGATGGAGTGGTTCAGTGATAGAGCGCCTGTCTAGCAGAGCCTAGCAAGTGTGAGGCCCTGAGTTCAAACTCCAGTACTGCCAAAAAAAAAAAAAAAAAAAAATTAAAAGCCACTGGAAGTTCATGGTGAGGTCAACTGTCTATGATCCTAGCACATGGGAGGCTGAAGCAGGAGGGTGTCCAGTTCTAGGCTAGGCTGGGCTACACAGAGACCTTGTCTCAAAAATAAATGAGTAAATAAAAAAGGCATGGATCCTTTCCATATCTATTTATGTGCCATATACATGCTTTACACAACTGACCTTAAGATTCTTCAGAATTTAAAACTCCTGTAACCATACCTAATCTTTTCTCTGTTTGATTCCTCTTCACCCCCCTTTAGACTGTGATGGACTGAATGGCTTCAAGTACAGTAGGAGTCAAAAGCAGATAGATCCAGGGAAAATTTCCTGTTGGGATGGAAGCCACATGATCAGTCAAAAAGCTAATTCAGTGATTTCCCTTTTTTTTTCCTTTTGTTTTTGAGATGTGGTCTTGCTAAATTGCTCAGGTTGGTCTCAAACAATCTTCCAGCCTCAATCTCCTGAGTAGCTGAGATTACAAAAATGTGCTACCATGCCCAGGTACTTTTTTTTTTTTTTTTTGAAAGCTTTAGGTCAAATATAGCAATATTTTGAGAAACTAATATAGCAATGGACCTTACATAAAAAGCGCACACACACACACACACACATTTTGGCAGTACTAGGGTTTTGAACTCAGGGCCTCACACATCAGGGCAGGCACTCTACCATTTGAGCCACTACACCAGCCCTTTTTTGTGTTGAGTATTTTCAAGATTGGGTCTAGTGAACTATTTCCAGAGGTTGGCTTTGATTCTCCTGATCTCTGCCTTTTAAGTAGCTAGGATTGCAGGCATAAGCCACTGGCACCCCAGCATATTGCTTCAAAGGGTTCACAAATACCATTTCTTCCTCCAGTCTTATCAATGGGCCAAGAGGTCCACAGACCACAACTCTACATACATATACATTCTGTTAAGAGGGCCTAAAAAAGATCAAATATGGTCAGATTTGATAAACTATCCAGGTCTTTGAATAGGGGTGATTCAACAACAATAAAAGGGCTACTTTCCAAGCTGGATTCTTCCACTATTCAAGAAAAAATAAAGGAATAAGAAGTATCAAGATAAAGAGAGGGCTGGCAGAGTGGCTAAAGTGGTAGAACACCTACCTAGCAAGTGCAAGATCAAGTTAAAGCCCCAGTACCGAAAGAAAAAAAAAAAGAAGGTATGTTTCTTATTCAATAAGATAATGGTGTTCTTTCTTCCAAATTTCTACTATCAGGCAGACAAATGGCAAAAAACACTCCAATGCACTTTTGGTTTTTTTTCCTTTTTTACTTACATTAAATACATTGGTAAATCAGCAGTTGCATTCTGTTACCACGATTGTTATGTTGGAAGGAAGGAAAGGCAAATTCTTTCTTAGAAGCAAAAAAAAAAAAAAAAAGAAGAAGAAGAAGAAAAAAGACACCCCTTCCCCCAAAAAAGAATCCCAACTGATCAGAAGAAAAAAAAAAAAAAAGAAATTAAAAAAAAACCTAAGACTCCCCCCAACCCCAACAGAGCTCAAAGGAGGGCAGAAGAGCTGGAAGGAGTAGAGGGAAGGCAGCAGATAGGCCTAGAAGCAAAGGCCAATTCTGTTCTTAGTGGGTGACTGAGGAGAGAAGCCTGGGGAAATGGTTTCCCAACACCAGGCAATGAAACACCTTCACTCCTGATCCATGGGGAAAGCTCCACAGAGAATTTCTAAGAGACTTACAGAGCCATCCGAGTTCTTCCGCTTGTAAAAAAAAAAAAGGATGTACAGGGTACTTTGGGTTACTAATGGGTTCTGGGAAAGGAAGGGGAAATTGTATGTGTATTTCAGGGCCACAGGAACTAAGGCTGCCCCTGGAAAAAGAAGGGAATTGAGGCCTAAGTGGAAGAACCTAAGCTGGGTCCTTCAGAATCTGTTTCATGGATTTCTCAGATGTTCTGGACAGAAAGCCATCTGTAAGCCAAAAGGACAGAATGATTACAACTCTGCGTTACTGTAGCCTTTTCTGTCTTTCTTCCCCAAATTTTCCCAAAATCCTGCGCTAGAACAAGAAGGAACTGGAGTTCTCCCTTGCCTTGATGGCTTCCCACAGACATCCTAAAACATCTGATGAAGGATGTGAAGATAGGCTAGAGACCAAGGTCCTCTGATGTGAGACAGTTGTGAGGTACCTTCAGTGCTTGTCACCTCCTGTCCACAGGTCGTATGATAAGACAGGGAAAAGTAGGCCTCTGTGGTAGCCCCTACTGGTACATGAATTGAACCACTGGTTGCATGGAAGGGTAGGTATGGTAGGATGAGAATGGAGGAACTAAACTTAAGATACTAATGGGAGGCAGGAAATAGACCAGACTGTACAGTGAGAATAAAGATTATACCTATTTACAGGGAAGTAGAAAAGACATGGTAATGGATAGCAAATTGAATGTGAACCTTGGAAAAGGATAGAAAATCATGCCTTTTGCTGACCTCTCTTTACTCCTCTATCTTGGCCCATGCTATTGTGAGGCTACTCCCAAGAGCTAGGTTGGCAAGAATAGAGGTTACAATCAGAGCTGGAGGAAACTGTAGCAGTGGAGACTGGGTTGAGTAGCTACCACTAGCACTGTTCTTTGTAGCCTCTCCCCAAACCTCATATAGCTCTGATTCCATTTAATTAAAAAGAAGGTTACAGGACAGGTAATTCAATCAATAACCCCCATAAAACAAGTATCCTGACTGAACTACCATCAATTAAAGTGCAAACTGCAGGGGGATAGGGTATGTGGCGCTCAGGCCATCTTAAGGGCAGGGGGAAGTGCATATGTGTAAATCAGAGGATGGGTATCAGAGACTGGCCCCTTCTCCAATTAGATCACAGCAGAGCCAAAGGTGTAGGCAATCAGTGAAGATTCTTTGGAGGACTCTGGGGCCCAATCCCCACTCTAGGAGAGAAGCTCCTAAGAGGCTATGTGAGGGAAAACTTGGCCTTGGAGGTGTTCCAGAGCCATAGATGACACTCTACGTTGACCTCAATCCAGTTAGCTAACAACACAATTCCCACATGGTGCCTGAGAGCTTGCCTACTCATTCTCACCTCTACCTAGGAATAGCCTCCACAAGGCCAACTCATGGATACTACAGTGTTTTCAAATATGAGAAACTCCAACCAGATTTAAAAAAGGAAAGGTTTCCTACTTCCTTCCTGCTCTGAGCCTTATTCTCTCCCTAGGACCCTTACTAGAAACCTTCCTCCTTGGTTCCTGGGTTTACCACCTTCTCCAACCTGGGGAGAGGAGGAAAAGAGGATCAAGGACAGGAATTGATCAAAAGCAGACGGGGGAAAGGGCAGGAGACAAAGTGTTTTCTGAAAAAAATGGAGAAGAACACAGGGGAGGAGGAGGAAAAATAAGTACGTCACTGTCTTGCACCTATAATACAAAGTGAAGAAAGTTTGTTTTGGAAGGTAAGTCCTGGAGGGATTTCACCCCCAAACCCCAGAATAAGGGGTAGGAGGACAGTGGCAACAGCTGCCTGGTGTTGGTTGCTGAAGCGTTAAAAAGTGCCATGACGGAGCTGTCAGGAGGCAGCCCTTGGGAGCCAGGGCTCAGTGTGCTGTTACCATAGGGGCTGTGTGCTGAGGGGGTGGGGATGGAGGTTATTTCTTAGCTGTCGTGCTAGCTCCGTACTTGTTTGCTGCTAGCCACCCCCCTCAGTTGCTACAACACTGGCTCTTGTTCTGCTGGGACTGCTCATGGAGATCCACACCCCGGCTTCGGCCTGCTGCACCCCCCAGATTCTGGGGTTCACTCTTTGGCAACTTCTTAGCTAAAGATAAAGAGAAGAGAACAAAGTATGGTAGATTTTACTCACATCACCTCCCATCTCCCCCCACCCAAAAAAAAAAGGAGAGGGGAAAAATAGGGAGAAAGGCAACAGATTAAGAATGTTTTGAAGAGAGGAGAGAGTTCACTATGCAAACTGCATTGAACATAAGGGGCTAAAACTGCAGCCAAAGGACAAAGATCACAACAGAAAATTAAGGTATTTCCATGCCTAAGTTTTTTTGTTTTGCTTTTTTAGCAGTGCTGGTGCTCAAACCCAGGGCCTTACACCTACTATGGCAGGTGTTCCACTGAATTATACAACCCAGCCCCATATCTAAAGTTATTACAAGAGTTATTACATTCCACCTATCTCTTTTTGGGTCAGTGATGATTTTACCTATTATAGACAAGGGAGGGAGAGGAAGAGTTCAGGCTGCCCTGACCTTACCTATTGCCAGGAAGAGATCATTCACGTTCATAGCTGTCTTTGCTGAAGTTTCCATAAACAATAAGCTGTTGTCATCTGCATAGGCCTGAGCCTCCTGCAACAGATAGGGAGAATAAATATTGCTTTTTTTAAATAATAGTTGTTTTTTTGGTGGTGGAGAGTAGTACTGGGGTTTGAACTCGGCCTCACGCTTGCTAGGCATGCGTTCTACCACTTGAGCCACTCCACCAGCCCCAAGTATTGCTTTTTGATTCTCATGTAGCTCCAAAGGAGGCAATATTCTAGGTACCCTCCCCTTAATGTCCCTTCTCTTTTTTTTTTAAGGCGCTCTACTGCTTGAGCCACACCTCCAGTCCATTTTGCTCTGGTTATTTTGGAGATGGGGGTCTCGAGAACTATTTGCCTGGGCTGGCCTTAAACCTCGATCCTCCAGATCTCTCCTTCCTAGTAACTGGTAGGATTTCAAGTGAGAGTCACCAGTGCCTGGCAATACCCATTCTTGTTAGGGTGGCCCTGAACTCGTAATTTGGTGAGAATTCCCTCAAGTTAAACCAATGTCCATTCAGTTCAACAAACAGATGTTAGGAATCTTAATAACGGAGGAGAAGAATAAGTTGGTTTGGGGCTTTTGGGTTCTAATAATTGAATACCTCAAATTTAACTGTTTTCTCCTTCCTATTTTCACACTGGTATCCCTACAGCTGGTACTTCCCTAATCTCTGCTCTGGGAATTTCTTCTGATTTCTCTAAAATCTGGTTGTCACCAGGCTTATGGTGTTGCTGATTTAATTTGGTATAGAATTGCAGAATGAGATAATGAGTGTCCTAACCTAAGATTTTCAGAGAGGGCTGGTTTGGAAAAAAGAGGTCCTACATACAGAGGGAGCATGTTAGAGAAGGACTCTATGGGCCATCTTACTTCATACTCCACCATGCGCTTGTTGGCCAGATCAGCTTTGTTCCCTGCCAGGGCAATAACAATGCTAGGACTGGCCTGCCGCTGTAGTTCCTTTACCCATGTCTTCGCTCGGGCAAAGGTTTCCTAGGAAAACATGAGGAAGAGAATTTGGTAGGCTAAATGACTGCCAATCCACAACCATCACCATTAAAACTTAGTCTTACAATTACCTCTTTATGCTTTTTTTTTTTTTGAACTAGGGTTTGAACTCAGTGCTTTGTGCTTGCCTAGGCAGGTGCTCTACCACCAAAGCCATGCCCCCAGCATACAACTTAGCTCTTCTAAGTGCCCTTTCCTCACTGAAACCCTAGGTCTCTGATAATTCATTACCATTTGTTTTAGCACTTTGTAATCTTATTTTGCTATTTGTTTTTTTTTTGGTGGTACTGGGCTTTGCACTTCAGACCTTGCAATTGCTAGGCAAGTACCCTACCACTTGAACCATGACCCCAGCCTTATTTTGTATTTCCTCTCCCTTACCTAATTTAATTCCTATAATTAGGAAATTGAAACCAAGGACAGTGTTCTCAGCTCACTTACCTGATTAGTAATATCATAAACCACAATTGCAGCTTGAGCACCCCTATAGTACATGGGGGCTAAGCTGTGGTATCGCTCCTGCCCAGCTGTGTCCCAGATCTCAAACTTGACTGTTGTGTCATCTAGACAAACGGACTGCGTGAGGAAGGCCGCTATGGATGAGGGAAGGAAGGGAAAGAAGTTGTAAGTGGAAGGATGAATGGGAACATTACCATTCCCCTCCTCTTCAGTCTTAGTTTAAGACCAATTTCTACCAGGCCACTCAGTTACAGGTTTAGTGTTCTCCTTACATATAATCCTGGAACCAGGATTATGACTGCCCTTGACCAAGATGTTCCTCCCAAACACTTCTCTAGTTAAGGAATAGGGCACATCATAAACTGTGAGGGATAGACAGGACAACGAGCACTTATACCAGTCATCCTCTTTTGGGTAGTTTTGTTTGTTCATTTTCTGGCTGTACTGGGGTTTAAACTCAGGGCTTCATGCGTGCTAGGCCAGTGCTTTACCACTTGAGCCACTCTACCAGCCCAGCCATCCTCTTTTAACCAAAATAAGGGAATTAACAAATAATGACAGAGACAATAAACTTCACATTAAATGACAAAGAAAATTAATCAAAGGTTAAAAAAAACTAATTTGAGGATTTTAAAGCTTGATGGCAGGTCCCAGAATTACCCATATTATTTAGCCATTACTTTTTTTTTTTTTTTTTTGATGGGATTGGGGTTTGAACTCAGGGCCTCATGCTTGCTAAGCAGGCACTCTACCACTTGAGCAGCTCCATCAGCAATTTTTTTTTTTTAAATAATGGTACCGGAGTTTTAACTCAGGGTTTCATGCTCGCTAGGCAGGTAATTCTTCCACTTGAGCCATGCCTCCAGCAGATTTTGTTGTATTTTGTATTAATTCCATACTTTTTAACCAAATACATGCATCAGAATTACTAAAGGAGCTTCTCCAAACACATGCCTCTGCTGCTCTGTGCTGCTGCCACCAACTGCACTCTGCCTCCAATATTAATCAGCAGATCAGGGTAGAGCCCAAGCACACATGGATTGAAAATGCTCCTGGGGTAATTCTGGTATAAATTTTGATAATGAATCACTGCTCCAAACCAAGTTTTTTGTTTTTTTTGAGTTTTTTGTTTTTAAGGCAGGGTCTCCTCAAACTTGACTACTATGTCATCTAGACAAAAGGACTGGGTGAGGAAGCCTGCTATGGATGAGAGAATGGAGGGAAGAAGTTGTAAGTGGAAGGATAAATGGGAACATACCATTCCCCTTCACATTATCTCCATTCTCAGTCTAAGACCAATGACTATCCAGGCGGCTCAGTTAAAGGTTCAGTGTTCTCTTTATACATAAGTAAGGAAATCTTGCTGTAATCTTTCTGCCTCAGCCTCATGAGTGCTGAGATTATAGGCATGGGCCACTATGCCCAGATCTAAACCAATTTCTATCTGCTCAAGATGCCTCTCAGCTGAACTTAGCTGTCATTAAGATGACAGGCTAGCAGAGTGGATCAAGGGGTAAGAGAGTCTGCCTAGCAAGTGTGAGGCCATGAGTTCAAACCCCAGTTCTACACATAAAAATAAAAATAAAATAAATAAAATAAAATATTGCCACCACCAGAGAAAGGAGGAAGACAGAGATGAAAAATTAGTGTTTTTCTTGGTGTGCAAAGATCAACTCCTTTTTTTCTAGAAGGCAAAAGGATGAACATAGACCTCATTTTTGGTGTTATGGTAATTATTTTTGTTTTTATAAAGGGTTTCTATTCCTGGGGTAATGAGGGCCAATTCCATAATCAGGTCCTAGATATCCCTTCAAGGAAACTCTTACAAGTCATTGAACTGCTTCCTTCTCTGAAGTACTTACCTCCAATGGTACTTTCCTGGTACTCATGGAACTGCCCTTTAACAAAACGTAATACCAGGCTAGACTTCCCCACTGCAGATTCCCCCAGGAGGACCAATTTGAATTGGCATATTTTGCTGGCCTGGGGCTGCCCATTGGGCCTGGCTGTGCTTCTGCTAGTCATGACCAGATTATCAGAGTGGGAAAGGGTAGAGGGAGGGGGATGCCACAAAGCGGCAAAGGGGGGAGGGGGAGGGGAGGGGATGTCTAGGCTTCAACAATCCTGTAAGAAAAAAAGTAGCCAAAATTAGATACAGTTCCATTGCACTTGCAATTACTTTTTAGAGAAAGGACAGAGTCTGTTCATTTCCTTGTTCCTATGATGACTTAGCTCTTTTAATCACCACCATTGAAAAGTTATACCTTAAGTCTCAGACAGCTGACATTCAGTGGTAAGAGTTGGGGACAGTAAAATAAGAACTGCTTCTGAAATAGAGTTTGTCCTGCCACAAAGTCTGACTGGCAAAGGAGCTGAAGTGGAGACTGAACACTGAGTTTTTTCCCTACCAAGTTTTCAAAGTTTTTTTCTGAGTCACAGCAAATTGATCAACCTTTAGTTGCTTTGGAGAATACTCACAGGTACCCTAGATACCCATTATCTTCTTGGTACCTTAATGCTGTGCCTTTTATTCTCTTTATATTTTTTTAATTTCCTTTTATTCTCAAGATGAAAGATTCACTTTAAGGAGGCGAATAAGAATAACCTCTCTAAGATCGCCCATGTTCATGGATTGGTAGAATCAACATAGTAAAAATGTCGATACTCCCCAAAGTAATCTACATGTTTAATGCAATTCCCATCAAAATTCCAATGACATTCATTAAAGAGATTGAAAAATCTACTGTTAAATTTATATGGAAACACAAGAGGCCACGAATAGCCAAGGCAATACTCAGTCAAAAGAACAATGCAGGAGGTATCACAATACCTGACTTCAAACTATATTACAAAGCAATAACAATAAAAACAGCATGGTACTGGCACAAAAACAGACATGAAGACCAGTGGAACAGAATAGAGGATCCAGATATGAAGCCACACAACTATGAGCAACTTATCTTTGACAAAGGAGCTAAAAATATACGATGGAGAAATAGCAGCCTCTTCAACAAAAACTGCTGGGAAAACTGGTTAGCAGTCTGCAAAAAACTGAAACTAGATCCATGTATATCACCCTATACCAAGATTAACTCAAAATGGATCAAGGATCTTAATATCAGACCCCAAACTCTTAAGTTGATACAAGAAAGAATAGGAAATACTCTGGAGTTAGTAGGTATAGGTAAGAAAACTTTCTCAATGAAACCCCAGCAGCACAGCAACTAAGAGATAGCATAGATAAATGGGACCTCATAAAAAACTAAAAAGCTTCTGTTCATCAAAAGAAATGGTCTCTAAACTGAAGAGAACACCCACAGAGTGGGAGAAAATATTTGCCAATTATACATCAGACAAAGGACTGATAACCAGAATATACAGGGAACTTAAAAAACTAAATTCTCCCAAAACTAATGAACCAATAAAGAAATGGGCATGTGAACTAAACAGAACTTTCTCAAAAGAAGAAATTCAAATGGCCAAAACACATGAAAAAATGCTCACCATCTCTAGCAATAAAGGAAATGCAAATTAAAACCACACTAAGATTCCACCTCACCCCTGTTAGAATAGCCATCATCAGCAACACCACCAACAACAGGTGTTGGCGAGGATGCGGGAAAAAGGAACCCTCTTACACTGTTGGTGGGAATGTAGACTAGTACAACCACTCTGGAAAAAAATTTGGAGGCTACTTAAAAAGCTGGACATCGATCTACCATTTGATCCAGCAATACCACTCTTGGGGATATACCCCAAAAGACTGTTACTCCAGAGGCACCTGCACATCCATGTTTATTGCGGCACTATTCACAATAGCCAAGTTATGGAAACAGCCAAGATGCCCCAGCACAGACGAATGGATTTAAGAAAATGTGGTTCTATACACAATGGAATACATGCAGCCATGAAGAAGAACGAAATGTTATCATTCGCTGGTAAATGGATGGAACTGAGAACATCATTCTGAGTGAGGTTAGCCTGGCCCAAAAGACCAAAAATGTATGTTTCTCCTCATATGTGGACATTAGATCAAGGGCAAACACAACAAGGGGATTGTACTATGAGCACATGATAAAGCGAGAGCACACAAGGGAGGGGTGAGGATAGGTAAGACACCTAAAAACTAGCTAGCATTTGTTGCCCTTAATGCAGAGAAACTAAAGCAGATACCTTAAAGCAACTGAGGCCAAGGACCAGGAACTAGAGAAAAGGTTAGATCAAAAAGAATTAACCTAGAAGGTAACACCCCATGCACAGGAAATCAATGTGGAGTCAATGCCCTGTATAGCTATCCTTATCTCAACAGCAAAACCCCTTGTTCCTTCCTATTATTGCTTATACTCTCTCTACAACCAAAATTAGAGATAAGGGCAAAATAGTTTCTGCTGGTATTGAGGGGGGAGTTTGAGGGGGTGGAGTGGTGGTAAGGGAGGGGTGGGGGCAGGGGGAAGAAATGAACCAAGCCTTGTATGCACATATGAATAATAAAAGAAAAATGAAAAAAAAAAAAAGAATAACCTCTCTAAGGCATATATGGGTAGCATCTGGTTCTGTATCTTTCACATATGAGCACTCTTTTATTTATTTTTGGACAACAGTGGGGCTTGAACTCAGGACTACCACTTGGGAGATAAGTGCTCTACTGCTTGAGCCACACCTCCAATCCTGATCACTCTTTTTTTTTTGGTGGGACTGGGGCACTTGAACTCAGGGCTTTGCACTTGTAAAGGAGGCACACCTCTTTCTATTTTGCTATGGTTACTTTTGGAGAAGGGTTTCATGAACTATTTGCCAGGCTGGTCTTGAACCATGATCTGCCTTATTTCAGCCTTCCAAGTGGGTAGGATTACAGACATAAGCCACCAGCACCTGGCCTGACCACTGTCCTTAACAAGACACTTCTGAAGATCTAACCAGGGTCCTACTGCCAGGAAACCTATTTTTTTCTCATTTCTGGCCAACAGATCACATTCAGTATCAACTCTTTTACTTTGTTTCTGCCACTTCTCTAAGTCTGAAAGTTTATCAAATCTAAGACCTGTTCTTAACTTGCAGCTGTCTTGCTGCCTAAGGATTAGATTACCCTTTACACCAAAGGGGCCTAATAGCTGTAGCCCTCCAAACTAGAGGCCAAGAAAGGTATACCTTTAAATACATGCAGTCTTGGGGGATGGTATAGGGGATAAGTCTACAAGAAACCATTATTTGATGAAAGAAGGCTACAAGCTGCTGGGGGAGGCAAAGAAATGTGATTGAGATTCTAATCAAACCAAACCTGAATTATAATTTTGCCCTCCTAACTCTAATTGGAAAGTAAGCAGCTATAAATTCAAAGAGTAGTTAATATGGACATTAGGGCACAAAAACCTCTCTCAAACCTAAGCATTGCTGCCGTTATATCATTTTGTTCGTTTCAAATTATCTTTCTCTTGTAAGGCTGATTTTAGTAATTAAAACAGACATTCATACTTATGTGTATGGAAACATGTTGGCTTTGATGTCAGATTACAGTTAAAAATCTCAGCAATGAGGGGTTGGTAGAGTGGTTCAAGTGGTAAGAGTGCCTGCCTAGCAAGCGTGAAGCCCTAACTTCAAATCCCAATGCCACAAAAATAAATAAATAAAAAAATATCTCAGCAATCAACCCCAGTTTGGGGAGGCGGTCAATACTTTTAAAAATTTCAGCAAGTGCTGGAGGTGTGGCTCAAGTGGTACAACACCCTACTTAGTACCCGTGAAGCTAAGTTCAAACCCCAGTACAGTGTCCGCCCTAAAAAAAAAAAATTTCAGCAAACCTACTTATTAGACAGTAAGAAAAATCACACAGGAGGCAATGCAGAGGAACAAAGGCTTTTTTGGGTTTTTCTGGTTTGTTTTCAAGTTCTACTTAATGGCTGTGAGCCCTGGTGAAAGTTTCTAAATATACAAGTGCCTTTATTTCCTCATCTGTAAAATGAGATTAGCCTTAAAACTACCTATTATGTAAGGCTGTTCTAGGGCTAAATGAGATCATACATACAAAAAATTTAAGTATGTGAGATAAACTAGGCATTCAATAAATATTAAGCTATTAATCAGTCTTAACATGACATCAAGAAAATTTTTCTCTCTCTCAGAGTCTTACCTTCCTTCTTTGGGAAATGAAAAAAACAAAACAAAATAAAACTATCTCCACAGAGTAAATATGAGGATTAAGTGAAAGATATAGTCATTATATAGTTAATAAGTGTTATCTAGGAATTATTATTTAATGGTCCCACTTTTCTATCTAGAAAAGACCAAGTTAATATGTGAAAGTATATCTCAATGTTAGTTTTCGGTGTATTCCTAAAAAGCAGCCAAGATATGAAAAAGGTAGAGAGAAAGAAAAATAATGAAAGCGTGAAGAGGAACTTAGCAGAGGATTGTGATAGAGGTGAGAACTCAAAGTCCCCAAGTAGACTAACTTAAAGGAATTCGACAATTTACTGTGACTCTACTGGGTATTCTGTAGTCCCCTAGGCCAGTTATGTCCTAAGAATCCTACATACATTCCCCATTTGTGATTAATTTTTCACTGGTCTATTGATGAAATGATCCAAATAAAGACATCACAGATTTTACACCAAGCTAATTTTACTCTATTTAAGTGTATCTTATTTCTTTTCTTTTCTTTTTTTGAGACAGGATCTCATTATATAGCCCATGCTGTCCTTGAACTTCCAATCTTTCTGCCTCAGCCTCACAAGTGCTAGGAGTACATGAGGTATATCCTTATTATAAAATTTCTTACTTCTTACTTTCTTTGGTGTCAGTTTTCTCTGGAATAAATGGAAACAAAGACATGGTGGATCCTATTTCTGTAAAGCAAAACTTAGAAACTGCTTTTGCTGAAAGGCACTGACTCCTTACTGGGCCCACAAATACTAATTGCAGTAGAGAGTGTGGCATCTCCATCTCCATTTTGTAACTTGTCTATGTTTCTAAACTTTCTTTCTTAAAGCCCACTGCAATTCCAGGAGGACAGACCAATAATATCTTTAAGGAGGGACAGAGGAACTCCTCCCATAAAAGGAGCACCAGAGCCTCCCACAAAGCAGGGACCACCCACCAGGCACAATGACTGCTTATCTTTGACCAGTTGCTCCCTTTCAAGTGATGACAGTAATAATCCACCCCCCCCCCCAAAACCAGGACCTAGATGATTATCAACCAGGCCATATTTTGACCAGACTATTTAATAATTATGCATACTGCTTGATCCCTGTCCCAAATTCTTTCTCTATTTAACCTTTCTTTTTGTTTGTTTTGGTGGGACTGGGGTTTGCACTCAGGGATTCATGCTTGCAAAGCAGGTGCTCTACCACTTGAACCACACCTTCAGTTCCATTTTTCC